AATATCTTTATAGGATAATTTTTTGCTTGGTAGTGTGATTGCCATGTGCAATGTTTTCCAGCTTGCCATCGTCCACAGTTTTGAATCATAAGCCCAATCATGGCCGTGTCAAACGGCTAGAAAAATCAAAACCACGCACACATGGTTTTATGACAGGAATAACCGACAGGTGTTACCGACCATAATTTAATCACTTTTTTTTTTAATCACAGTACAATTTTTGAATATATAACCACCCTAGTTATTCAAACTTCACTTTAATTACCCTGTCCTAATGTTTAATCAGAGGTTAACCATTTTTTTTTGCCGTTTAAACAAATACTACCTTCATTAAGAGTGTGTACGTTTAATTTTCTGTAGTGAGTTTAATTGATTTAATCTTTCTTTCCTTAAAATTTAGAGTAAATCTCCCGCTAAACTAATGGTTTTATTATCCTTAATCATTGGAACTAAATTAGTAACCAATAATATTTTTTATTAAAAATATTTTTTTATATCTTTAATATAATATTACCTTTTTAATTTTAATTCTTTAACATTAACTCTAAAATTTGAGATTACTATTTTTCTATTAAGATCATTTTACTAAAACTTTTATTTCACAATGCCAAGAAAACATTTATTGAAGCTATAAATTATTTATTATTTTTAAAATATCATTTAATGTAGTTATAAAAATCTTTTAAATATTTTTGTTGATCTCAATGTAAGAAAAAAAAGTTGAATTGTTATATAAAAAATGTTTCAGCAATACTATTGAGGACACTCAAGTCTGTTTAACGATTTTAATAAATTGTTTGGAAAAAAATGAGATGATCAAATCTTGACCACTAAAAATCATTGTCAATAAAAAGCTTTTTCAAAAATAGTTTCTAAAGTTCACAACTTGGCTCTAGTAAGTTAAACAATATAAAGTGATAAAGAGTAAGAAAAAAAGAAAGGAATTATCTTAATTCATTTTACCTTAATTAATTAGGACCACATCCAATGCGTAATTAACAACCAATATTTTTCACTATAACACTAGGATCCTTACAATTGATAATCTGCATAACTTAGAAAAAAATGACGAACCTTTTCACGTTACAATCGTTTTTTTTTTCTTACGAACCTCTTCAAGTTCTACCCATCCAAATTTGAAGGTTGAAAACGGATTTAAGTTTTCACTCAAGATCTTAATTAAAGAACAAATAATTAACAAAAAATGTCTCTTAATAAATTATCTAACTATATAAAATAATAAAATAATTGACTGCAGCTTTAAGTGTAATGTATGTATGAGTTGTTTAATCTAGCATTCAAGTTTTTATTTCCAAATAGTTAGATATATGTTGTAGACATTTTGTGTATATATATATATTCTCAAATGTTTTTTGAGCGTTGAAACATGCAAATGTGTTTAATTAATGCAAATAGTCGCCATTTTAACAATTCATGTGAAAAAATTTAAGATCTTCAAGATTTGTAAAAAAGTTAGCATATCAGTCACTTTAGCTTGAACTTATTCTTTTGAAATTAAATATTTAGCACAACAGTAAAAGTTGATCCCTTGAGGGCATAGAAGAAGCTTGTAGGTAAAATTATTTAAAGTTAATTAGCGTGTATTTGGTGTTATGTTTTTTTAGTGGATTGAAGAGAGTAAGACGAATATTAAATGTGTTTGGACAATTATGCTTACCTAAATTGCCTCAACGAGCGAATATGGGTAGCCTATGAATTAGGAATGACAATGGGTAAAGTACCCGATGGACACTCGTAAAATTTATTCATAATGGATAGGGTATTTATCCGCTATATAGGTACGGGTATCTAAGTACCTACCTCGTCTCATACCTGCATATATATGCTCGAACTTTATTCTACAATTATGTATTGAATTTTTATATTATTCTATTACTTATGTAAAGTTATATAAGATTAATATAAAAATATATTTAATAATAAAGTAAACCAAAAAATTTATTTTGGTTTATATTTTTAATAGAAAAATTTATTTACTATTTTATATCATTTAATTAGTCTAATACAATTTAATTATTACATAGTTAATATGAGATTGACTTTTTTTTAAATATTATTTATATATGACACACATGAAATATTTTTCACACAAATATTTTTGTTAATAAAATTATATTGATGTTTAAATCATAAAGTGAATGATAAATAATAAATATATTGTAAATATTTTATAAATTTTATAATCACCTACTATTACTGTAAATTTATTATTTATTAATAATATTTAAATTTTATTTTTTATATTTTAATTTAAAATAATATTTTTCTATGCAACATATGTATTACAAGCACAACTATAATCTATTGAATCTAAATAATATTATTCTTACTATTTATTCACGTTCAAAAAAGTTTTTGAAAAGATATAAATATAAAAAATTACTGTTACTTTTTATTTGTTAATTTTTTTCAGAGAAAAAGTATAATTTTTTTTAATATGCACGTATATTTCTTTATTATAAAATTTTATTGTGAGCATTTATCTTTTATTCAAATTCTTTCTTTTAAAATTTATATACATTATAAATATTTAATTTATTAAAATAATTTTTCAAAAATTTATATTTTTGATAAAATACTTTCGTATAATATATGAGTTAAAAATACTAGTATTAATATATATATATATATATATATATATTAATTATATTATATTATTTTAATTAAATCTATTATTTTTCTTACAATTTCAAATTCAAAAGTCAAAAAAAATATTTTATGTATCCACTTTCTATTGTAGTATTGAACTTCTCTACTCTAACTCTATTCTCATTCTCAATGTCTGTTTCATTAAAACTTAACAACTATAAAACGTTATTCATTAGAGTTAGTTGTCAATGTTATCATAAGAAGTCATCAAGTGATCTCACACGAAGGGACAACCATTGTGCAAATCTATTTCGTTGTCACTCTGACATTACCAATCGATCAAATCTCATACAAGATAAGGTTATCACTGACAAATAACTTGTGTGTTTAGTTTCGCTTATTGTTTCTAAAAATTTTAGTTTAGAAAATTATTATATTAAGATACATTTAGCATTTATGATATTTGAATATTTATTTATTTTTATCTATGTTTATACCTTGTTCAACAACTACATATTGAATTTTTGAATTATTATGCTACTTATGTGAAGTTATATAAACATATTTTTCTTTATAAATAATTTTTTCTCAAACAAGCAGGTAATGGGTACAAGATAGGTATGCAGGTACCCAGAAGGTAAGAGTACAAATATTAATGTTCATACCTACACGAGTATGGGGCCGGATACGAGTATTTTTTTAAAACGCGGGTATGAAGATGAATACTATAATACTCTACCCATACCCTACTATGAATTCATCCAAATCGATTTCCTTCTTGATATGTTATCCATGTCTTATTTTATCTCTCACCAAATGAAAATGAGGTTGGCCTTGTAGCAGTCTTACACACACACACCCAAACGATTTAATGTGTCGCCATCCATATTCGCATGGTACTTGTTCTACTGACTCCAATTTTTTTGTGTATAAATACTCAAGAATAGCATTCATCGTGAAGTCAGAAAGGACCAACATTTTTTTTAAGAATTAAAAAAATGCTGAAAATTAAAAAATTTGAATTAAAAAATTTAGTGTTACTATTTATTTTTGTTTGTTAATGTATACATCAAAATAGTTATGACATAAAAATAATTTAATTATACATAGATATTAAAGTATAATTTGGTAATCACACATCCTAAATGGTAATTTTGAGCAAAAATGCTTGTCAAAACAACTTTTTTAATGCATGTTATCTATATAAAAATTTATATTGATTTCAAATTCAATTATACAGACGCGTATCCACGATATTTGGATGAAGCTTCATTAATATAGTGTTTAGATAATTATGCTTTTATACTATATCTTTTTGCATAAAATGGGACCTTTTATAAGACTATATTTATCTTTTATAAAAATTATGTAATCCTTTAATTAATAATATTCTACATTTAGTTAGCTTTTATCAACTTTATTTTTATTTATTATGTTATACTTATAGTTGTGATATAGTATCACTCTGAAGAGCCTAACTAGGTGAGTTTAATGTGGTTAACAAATAAGCTACTACTATACTAATGAGGGGGAGGTTGAAAATGATGAGGGAATGTACCTACAAAGAACTATAACATCTAAATGAGTGTTAGTACTAATAAATAACGATGGGAAATGGATTGCATATTACATGTGATAAGAGTTGATTAGAAGTGCGGGTGACACAAAATAAAAAACTGCAACAAAACTTTACCATATGTGTTGGCATGAAATAATTATAGAAAGTTCTCAATTCTTAGAATAACTTACGTGATCCTTTGACTATAATCCCTTACGATGAGCATATATTAAGTGATGGGTGTGTAAGCACACATAATTTAATATAGGCCTCAAAGATAATGTTTAACCCAATTTAGATATTAAGTTATCAGCGTCTTAGTGGTACCAATGAAAATTTTAATCCCTTTTAAGTTGCCTCATATCAGTTTATTTTTATATAAAAAAAAATAACTCATAAAATGATTTTATATTCAATAACAATGAATAATAGTGTAATTATCGAGTTATTAATCAATAATTAGTCAAATCAGTTGATCATATTATTATTAATGTTATAACTAAATAAGATGTAAAGAAGCAACTTTGAATTTAATTTGGTTTCGGCTCAACAATGAGAATCAAGTTATATCCTGCACTCGAGGTAATTTCCATGTAGCAAATGACAACATGAGTAAATAAATGTGGAACCAAACAAAGCATTGGCAATTAGGCATCTAGGACCGCTAAGCAACCAAATTGGCAAGTACACTTTATTCCTGTTACCTAGGGGAGGCTAAGGAAAGTAAGCTTAACGTGCATGTCACTCCACATTCTTGTTGTGCTAAATTGTTAGCAACCCCTTGCTCTCTCACTTTTCTCACTATAGATGTTCACCAACCTGGTCCACAAATTTTTGGAATTTGGGAATTTGATATTCAAAACAGGCCCCTACCCAGTCCTTATGCAAAACATTTTATATCTTGGACATAATTAGATCAGCTATATAATTGAAACAAAGGAAGACACAGAACCACACCCTCACTAGGGTCGGTCTATTTCTTTTTGTCCATCAATTAGTAGTGTCCCTTTCAAAGTGTATCATTCTTCTATTATTATTCAAAGTTCACTTTCTTGCTGTAAAAATAGTTTAAAAGATTATAATACAACTGGCCCGTGATCTCAACAACTTCATAGCTTGTATAGTAACAAGTAATAAGTAATATACTATATATGCCCTTTTCCCCAACCCTTTTCAGCTTAAGCCATCATTCACTCGCACTCTGCATTTTACAGTTTCCTCCTTAACCTTACACTGCTAAAACAGCAAATGGCTCAGCTTAACCTCATACTTGTCTGGTTACTCTTCATAAGTCTGTGCCTTTATTCATGTCCTACTTCGGCCCAGCTAAGTCGACACCACTATGCGAAAACATGCCCCAATGTTGAAAACATTGTGAGAGCAGCAGTCAAAAAGAAATTTCATCAAACATTTGTCACAGTTCCTGCTACCATTCGTCTCTTCTTCCATGATTGCTTTGTGCAGGTAATCTAATCAAATGCATGCATTCGATTCACAATACAAATGTTGCTGAACTAATAAAATTGGATTTATAATGTGTCTGCAATTCTACAGGGTTGCGATGCTTCGGTTTTGGTAGCATCCAAGGGAAACAACAAAGCAGAGAAGGATCACCCTGATAATCTTTCACTAGCCGGAGATGGGTTTGACACAGTGATCAAAGCAAAAGCCGCAGTAGATGCTGTTCCTTTGTGCAGGAATAAAGTTTCATGTGCTGATATTCTAGCCATGGCAACCCGGGATGTTATTGCACTGGTTTGTGACTTTGTTCATTAATGTCCTGTGAAAAGCATTTGATTCATGTGCCTAATTAGGAGCTTCATTGAATTAATGCAATTGAATCTTCAGGCTGGTGGACCTTTCTACGAGGTTGAATTGGGAAGATTTGATGGGTTGAGATCTAAGGCTTCTGATGTAAATGGGAGGCTTCCGCAGCCAGGCTTCAACCTGAACCAGCTTAATTCCCTGTTTGCGGCCAACGGGCTTACTCAAACTGAAATGATAGCACTTTCAGGTAATGCGCGTGATTTACACTTTCCAATCTAAGGCTGTCGGTCAAATAATTATAAACATTGGACATGATCTCTGTTCCCCAGTTAATTCCAATATTTTATTTGGGTTCTCCAGTGATTAGCATAGTTAAGGTAATATTTTGAATTTAAATTTCATCCATGTTGTTTTAGCTATCACTGAATCACGTGGTCTTGTTATGCAATTTAGAAAAATCAGACTGAACATAAGCATAATTAAATATGTGCGTTAATTATTAAACATTCAATGATTTTAATGTAAGTTGTAACTAAAGAAAACGTCGGCTAATATAATCTAACATTATCAAGAAATTTTATCCTCGGTGCCGACAATGGGTAAAAAGTAACCTATTCAAAGATGTTTAATATTTTTTAATTGTTTTTTTTATCAATTAGGAATGCAAAGGAAATCTACTTTGAATTATTTTATTGATTCATTGGCTCCCTAGGTGCTCACACCGTTGGATTCTCTCATTGCAACAAATTCTTCAACAGAGTGTATAATTTCAATGGTAAAAGTAGAGTGGACCCTACATTGAACTTGAAATATGCAGCAGAGCTAAAATCAATGTGCCCAAGGAATGTGGATCCAAGAATTGCCATTGATATGGACCCAACCACTCCACGGGCATTCGACAACGTTTACTTCAAGAATCTTCAGCAGGGAAAGGGCCTGTTCAGCTCAGACCAAGTGCTCTTCACGGACTCAAGGTCCAAGGCCACGGTAAATGCCTTTGCCAGTAACAGCAAAATCTTCCATGCTAACTTCGCCGCTGCCATGACCAAATTGGGCCGAGTTGGGGTCAAGAATGCACAGAATGGTAACATTCGAACCGATTGTTCGGTTATTTAATTTACGACAAACAGCCCAAGTTGTTGTAATGTTTAAGGATGAGAGTATTATCAACTTATGGGAATACATTATGTATATTTGTTTTCCTTTATGTTTAAAATCGTAAGTACTGAAAGTAGCTAATTTCTCAGCTGGCATGATTTTTTTGGGGGAAGTCAATTTGTTTGTGTGGGTGTGGGTGTGTGTTTTTATACAAATGTTCGCTTGTGATAATGGACTTGTTCCGTGACGAATATGGCAGCCTAACAAACAAAGCTGTCTAAGCAGGCATGCCACTATTACATTCGTTGACCCTTAGAGAATAAAGTGGAAGTAGAAGTGGGAACATTAATGTGCAAACAAATAACTCAGTATAAAAAAATAAATTGCACACTAAACAACTTGGTGAATGACATCAATTACCTTGAAAGTAATCCTTATAATCAAGAAAAACTCAATAATCTCCAAATATATCCAAAGATTAGGTGGATAAACTATTTGGGCAAGGTTACCCATCCGTAGTAGAGGTGCTGCTCATTTGAGTGTCTGACATCCATCTCATGGGCTCAATTCACGGTATGGTGAAAAGGATTATTAAAAAAAGGTATTCTTCTCAATGAAATTTGATTAAAAGTCAACAATATTTAAATCCAGTGTGTTTTGAGTTCTGCACCGCATAGAGAGACGGTTGCTCCTCACCTTACCAAAGAAAATGCTAAAATTTTTATTCACCATCAGATTCTAATTAACAAAGATGGTAGTCACAGGTGCTTCTGCATGGTCTTTTCTTATATTGGCTCACTGATTCTTGTAAACAAATTTACTGCTCCACCTGCATTGTGTGATTTTGTATGACTCGTGAAACATACATCACAGTCCATCGTACCCAAGCACCAAAATTTAAATAAAAAAATCTCAAGTTAATCCTCAAGATGATATGAATGGAACGTTTTAGTCCTTAAAAATTTTAAAACCATTATTCCTGATTTTGTAAAAAGTCATTCATTTAATCCTATTTTATTTTATTTTCATTTTATGCTAAAATGAACTATAAGTAATTTTTTTTTCCGGAGTCAATGGCTAAAAAAGGTTTTTTAAAATTTTGAAAACTAAAATGTTTAACCTATACAATCTCGATGACTAATTCAAGTGTTTATTCAAAATAACATTATAAATAAAATGTGTCAAGGACTTAATCAAACAAAAATTCATGATCAAAACTTACAACATTCTTATATGGACATCATTCAAATCCCTAAATCCCTTGAGCAATAAAAGATAAAATCACAATATTGGTCATAAGTGGTTTCATATAAACTTTGACAGAAAAAAAAAACTACTCTGATTTTCCTCTCACTGGTGATACCCAGAAGACAAAGGAACCTAACCCTGGATGATTGAAGATAATAAGCTCTATTAAAAAGGATAAATAAAGTGAAAAAATATCTAAAGATACCAACCATGGAGTTCCCCAGCAATTCAGCAAAGTGAATCTTTTTATGTGCTAATATTTTTATGATTTAACAGGTAAAAAATTCCCAAACTAAAATAGTCATCCTTGAAACCTATACAAGATATGGTCACCAAATTCAAATGTGTAGCAGTTTCCACCCTTGAAGCCCTAGTGCGAAGTGACGAATTAGAAATGTAATAAAGCCAATTATGATCCATCATCTTGATTGAGTAGAAAGAGTTTAAACCTATATACTGTTGATGCTTCAAGTCCAAGCACGTTAAAGATATAAAAACCAATTTTGTGCCCATATACTGCTTAAATTTGTAAGAGAATTGGTCATTCACAAAAACATCCCATATTTTGCGATTACATGTATGTCAATAATGCTTATAAGTGCAATATCAAAATCAGTGTAGACTTAATCTATTCTGATAAATCGAATCGTTAGGAAAACCCAATTTATAGCTTTGGTCAGTCCAATTGCAACCTGTTTTAGCTCATTCTTCTAATGCATGTAGGCAAATCTTCTCCAAATGGATTGGCCAATCTTCCCCTAGTATAATAGGATTCAACTCTACTGCTGCTCGAAAGTCTGAAATAGATGCAGAAACAGATCCAACTGGGTTTGGCATATACCTACTCATGAGCAATCCCTTCAGACCAGGATGAATTGGACCACTAAATTTGCCTACAGATTTTGAAACAACCAAATCCAAACATGATTTTATCAATTCTTTTAGGTAAACATCAAGTGCATTATTTAATAAGTTGGCGGAATCCGCTGAGACTTTAAATCCTCCTATTTCACACTTCTGCTCCAACCTTGTCATCAGAGAACATGTATCAGGTAGTTGACCAATGCTTTGACAGGTATTAGTGAAATTAATAGATGCTGATCCTTTACATAAACAATTTTTTTCTCTTTTAGTAGTGATGGGAATTCCAAGAGGTGCTTTAACAGGACTCCTACTATAAATGCTTGGGCTTCCAAAATCCTGATCAACCTCCTCCCCATCTTCCACAGAGAGAGGTGGCCTGCTAACTAGAGAATGTTGGTCTGTAGTGTTTTTCTGTTCATGACTTTTTGGGACTGAATCCTCATATGCAATGCGGAATCTGCGGTCACGTAAATTTGGAGTCCTACCTCTACGAGGAGATTGAGGAAAATCTTTGCAGAGCAACTGAAAATTGCTCTTATGATAACCATTTGGTGTTTTCACACAAAAAGAACCTTCTAGTTTGCCTTTTCTTGGCGAGGGTATCATAGAGAGGCAAGCTTTTTTTAAGATTGACCTGATGAAATGGTTATGAAGATGGACATTGTCTCTCCCAACAGTTGCTATGCAAAGCCTGTCAAATTCATGTTTACTAATTTTAAGACTCAGAAATCTTGTGATAAGATCAAAGTAATTGCATGCTTTCACACTTTCAAGCCTGGCTTCAATCCGTAATTTTTGCTCTAACGTGTCTATTAGAGGAAAATACCGAGCCGCTGGCATACTGCTTCCCCAAATTGCCACACTATAATCAGAACCGTCCAGTTAAAGAGAGACGTTTTGACACCTTGATATCTGAAAATTCATAATTCAATTTGGGAGCTCAAAACCGAAGGGCAAGCCCTGGTTTGGATGCATTAATTTCAGTATCAAAAGTCAACCATGCCAAATGATATAATCTGAGAGGTTACCAAATGGTGAAGACAGAAACACAGACTGAGAAGACAGAACCAGATAAACGAATTCCTATTACTCGTTTTTCTACTCTCCGTTATTCAATGGCATAATTCATCCGGTCAATCAAAGAATAATTTAGATAAAGACATATACCAGAGTAATAGCAAAGTAACCAATTTAACAGAAAGAATAAAGGTAAGCAACAAAAAATAGCAATTTTCCAAATTCACATTGACAATTGTAGCAATAGAACAACCTAAGCTCGCAAAATTGATCAAGAACAGGAAACGGACAACACAACACGCAACGACTTTGAGAGAAGAACGCGAAGTGAAAGAAGAGAATGCCAAACCTGAAAATACGAAATAGCTTCGGAATTAGACTATTTGATTGTCCGGTCACTAGAACTAAATTTGCTTCGAAAGTGCGACCAAGGTTAGGGCTTTGTTACCGGCCAGAAGAGGGAACCACCTTAACCCTTCCGAAGTGTCTGAAATTCGCAAGCGAAGGTCAAAGTCATGTGCGTTATACAATGTGTAATGTAAGCGCGACTTGCTGCGAATAATGGTGTGCCAATGATATAACAAGACCACATTGGTAGTTTAGTTTTGTAGCACCAAAAGAGTTCACATGACACAAGTCACGCACACGTATCCAACAGCTATGCCTACGCATGCCACATATTTGGTTTGTCAGGGAAAATTTTCCCGTAACAACTGTCGATTCGTGTCAAACTTGAGTATACAAGTCTGGAAATGTTTCTGCATACCCAGCACGCAAAATTCCCAGGACTTTCGACGGTGAACAGAGAAAAAAAAATACAAATAAAAAATGTGTTCAAATTTGTGAGTTTACTAGAAAGATTACGTATATAATATTACAGTTAAAAATATAAGTATTTTTAAATTAACAATATTTATTAGATGAAGTAGTTCAAAATAAAAAGAAGAAATGGAAAAACTGAAAAAATAAGAACACATTGTTATCGCTTGCATATTTTATCGTAGTTAATTTATATTTAATTATGATTAACTATTAATATTAATAAATAATAATGATCTGTCAATATTTAATTAATTAATGTAAATAATTTATGGACTTTAAAATTACGATTAGGAGAGAATTTTTGAGGAAAAATAAAAAGAAGACATATTTTTAATTTTTAATTAAAAAATTATACATTTATTATAATAAATACATTAAATTTATGTTAATATATTATTTTATATTTTTTATTTTACAAAAATATTAATTTTAAATATATGTATTTAAAATATAAAATTTATTGACTTTAATATGTTTTAACTACCTTTAAATAGAGCTTATTTCAAATTACTATCTATTAATTTTTTTAATTTTAATGCTTAACTAATTTATTTTTTAATTTTGTATCTAACATTAACTTTCGTCAGTTAAATAGTGACCTGGCTCACAGTTTGTCATGTCACCCCTAATCTCTCTCCTTTACCTCACCCTTAAATTTTCACGTCATGAATTTATATAAAAAAATAAAACATAACTTATACGTTGCATTTTAGGGAATGAGGAAAAGAGGGCTAAATCAAGAACACTATTCCAAAAAGAAGAACACTAAAGAGAAAAATACGCTGAAGATGAACATGAAAGAAAGAAGAAGAATCATAAAAGGAAGAAGAATGTTAGGGTTCCTTTTTCGTTGGTTATTGTTGTCCATCTCGATCTCTATTTTCGTTCTTTGTCTTCACGAAATAAAAAGTGTGGGTGGTTCCTTGTGCTCATCTTCTGTAAGATGTTGTAACTTACAAATGTAAAAAGTCTGCTATAATTTTTACTTCATAGAGCAAGAAAAATCTTGGTAGAAAGTTTTGGAGATGTTCTGGTTAGAATATAAGTTTAACTGGTTGTATTTGAGAATGAATTTTTGTTTTTGTGTTTACAAATTTGTTTGTATTTGGTTTGCAGGAATATAATTCTTGCAATTATTTTCGTTGGTTAAAGAACCTGTAAATGGGGACAATGAATTTGTTATCTCAAGACAAATCCGCACAATTCAAGAGTTAAAGGCAAAGATCAGTGATTTAATGAGATTGAAAAATAACTAAGGAGAAAATGGCAAAAAGAAAATAAGAGATGGTGAGACTTCAGGAAAAATGTCATGATCTTCATCAACAACTTGCATTATTGAAACTTAAAATATCCTGCAAAAAGAAGAAGATTGTTGTTGAGAGGAATAAGGTGAAGATTTTAGGATGTTTAGTAATTGTGCTTTAGTTTTTCATTACCATTATGAGCATTGTAGTAGCAATGAATGTTGTTGGTAAGAAAGTTTTAAAGGCTAACAGTTTGTAATTCAATGTAACAAAAGTTATTTTGAATATGGTTGAGTGAATTCAATAACATAAGAATTGATGCTTTTGACTCTATTCACTCTGATAATTCTATTATTTACTCTGTTGAATTTAGTTGTATTCACTATAAAAAATTATTCTGATTTGACATAACAATTGATAATTGAATATACAAGTTTAATTAGTTATTAACAACCTCCATAATTTTAGTATTCAGAATAGAACCTGTATTTTTAAATTGTTTAAGGTTTACTACCTTCATAAATAAACGTTTTCATATTACTACCCTTAATATATAACTGAACGTAAATTACCGCTTAATATTTTATATTCTTTTAGTATCTCTAAAATAAATATTTTATATTTTACTACTTGCATTATACAAATTTACTAATTCACTACCCATTTTTGTTATAAGTAATAGATTAGAAATATGTGAAAATAAGACTCAAACATACAAAATAATAGTCCCAAAAGGTGCACATGCATGCTGCACATTGTTTATATTTGATTGTTATCAAAAGGTACACCTTGTGGTCCATAAAAGATTCACATTTAGATGCTTCACAATTAAAATAAAGATATTGCTACTACACATTATTTAAAATAAAGTAACATTACTCCCAATACAAAATAACTCTAAACATTATTCTCCCTCAGAAATGGTTCCCAAAAAACACTGTTCCCCTTCAATTCGCATCATTTGTCCTTCTCCCTTGTCTGCCCCCGCTACTGCACTTGCCTCTAAACTTGGTTGACTTAATTGAGTTGATAAAGATGGTAGAGTTGACCCTTCATTAGCTACTCCTTCTGCTACAACAATGTCTTCATTCAAATTGTAGCAATTAATTTTCCTTTTGGTTAAGCACTTGGTTAACTTATTTACTTTCGTCTTGTGCTTGGTCCTTTCAGTGGTCTTCTTGGTACCATTTTTGCCTGCAAAGGTAAATCATTAACAATTTTACTAAATCCATGAAATTATGAGGCTAATACATATACCTTTTTTTAGATTGGTAAATATTGTTGTGCATCTGCTGTTCGAAGTGGAATAGGTGCTAAGTTTTCAACATTTGCCTCAGTTGGTGCAATATCAGGTTAACTTTTAGCTATTTCAGTGGCTGTTGGTTATGGTGGTGTTGGATGTGGATAGGTTCTTGTGTTATGGCCTTGTATACCACATCTTTTACGCTTATACTTACCAATATCTCTTGTCAATCTTGTCAAATTTGGGTTTATCTCATTAGGTTCCCTTCTTCTCAATTTTTTAAGTCTTTCAGGACCCCTTTTATTTTTGGCAGATAGGATATCATAAAATTCAATTTCAAGCCACATGTTCTACCCATTGGTGGTTGAAATCTTGTGCGCACATATATATCACATAAGTATCTCAAGAATAATAATTATCAACATAGTTCATGAAGTCAAATTTTTTGAATTGCATGGCAATCACAACATACCTGCATAGAATACCCACTAAATCTCAGAAATTACAACTACAGTAGTTCCTATTGATGTATATTATAAATTCCTCTCCATAATGTAAATCGCTTACTTCAAAGTCTTCATCCCCTCCCCAACTTGCTATCCAATTCCCTGACGTTTCAACCTCTCAATCTAGTCGTTTTAAAGGCTTAGGCATAATTTGTCCTGTTTAGCCTTTAACTTTGTCCCTAAGATTGGAAAATCTATTCATCAAATACATCCTTATCCACTTAAACATTGTGATAATTGGTTTATTCCTAACAATAAGGATTGTGTTGTTAAATACTTCACTAAGATTATTCATTAATAAATCACATTTGTGGGTAACATGAAAATTTATGCTTACACCATGCTTTCCTATCCAGATTAAATAGCCAGTAAAATGCAGTCTCATTCAAATCTCTAATCTACTGCATATAAGTCCTCCAAAGCTATTCATATGTTTCTTTGACAGCACCCATCATGAGGGCTATTCATATGTTTCTTTAATAGCACCCATCATGAGGTCTCTTAGTTAGACTCCTCCTCTAAATTTCTTTCTAAAATTGTTATATAAGTACCTCAAATAGAATCTATGTTCAACAGGTACAGAAAATTCTTCAAAAACTTGCATCAAACCCTATAAAAAATTTAAATCAAGTCAACACAAAATTCTAAGGTAGTAATCTAAAAATGAGTTAAATTAGAGGTAGTAAAAATGAACATCTTTACCTTTTGTTGGACACTCATAAAGACCCACTTGTTCACCTCAATAGAACCAATATCCTCTGAGAGCAAATTCAAAAATCATCTCTAAGTCTCCTTTGATTCAGTCTCTACAACAATAAAAGCCAACGGAAGGTATTGATCATTTGGGTCTATCCCAACAACAATCAATAGTTGACCTCCAAATTTATTTTTAAGGTGACATCCATCCACCCTTATCAATGGGCAACAAGCCTTCTTAAAAGCTAATTTTGGACTTTCAAGGCACATGTAGAAACTCTCAAACCTTAGCAAAATCTCTAAAGATAACCTAAATACCTTAATCACACAAGTATTGGCCGCACTTCTTTGTTTAAGTTCAACTGCATATCTCAAAAGTAGTCCATACTATTTGTCAAAATCACCATCAATCACAAATTTAGCAATTTGTTTAGCCTTAAATGCTCTTGATAGTGTTATTCTAGTGGAATAGTTGAATTGAATTTCTCCAACAATATTCTTTAATGCAATGTCAGTATTTGTAGCCTTCATCTTGTTAATCAAAACATTGGCAACTCAAGATAATTTTGCACTCTTATTGTGGAACACCCTTCCACATGTGTGTTTATCAGTCAGAGTGTTCAGCCTGTAAATCTCTGAATTGCTAACCTTATTAACATACACACAATATTCAACACAATATCTACATCTTTCCCTTGCCTTTCTCTTATCATTCAAATCAAATCTAATTTCCTTTCCATTCAACATATTATACTCTTAAATTGCGTCTTTAAACTCCTTAATGGAACCAAACTCCAAACTCAACTTCTATTTGAAATCCTTATTCAAATCATCACCATTAAATCTGGAATATTTTTTTTCTCAGACCATCTTCCTCAGAGTCACCACTAATCGGCTCTTCACTTGCATACCCATGATCAATATCATCTACTTCTACTCTTTGTGCCTTATAAAAATCATCTGCTTTGGTAAAACCTTGACTAGTCTAACCAAAAACACAAAATTCACTCTTTTAGTTTGTCTCTTCTTAACACCCTTATTTTTCTTTCTTTTTCCCATCTACAATTTCTCAACAACAACAACACCAGCATCTTCACCCCTAACTCCAACCCCACCAACAACACCAGTACTAACAACAGTCATTCTTCTAGTATGAGCATCATTTTAAAGCGCACTTGGTAAGTCACCTTCAGGGGTGGACATTTCAACAGATTCTTCTTCCTTAAAAATCCAAATAACCTCTACTTGAACAGGTACTTTCTTAGGCTCATGAACACCACAAGCAGCATGTTCTTCCTCTGCCTCAACATCTTCATTCAATTTTTTTGCAACTGATTTCTTCTTGCTGCATTTTACTCGCCCAAATTCTGGAACGTGCCTATCAAATCCATCATTCATGTCACCAGTTCTATCCTCCTCACTATCATCTAAATGAACTTCTTTTAGAGATTTCTCCTCACTTCTGGCAAAATTGTCCCTAACAACACTTCCGTTGTCTCTTTCAAAAATAACATACATTTCAACCTCCACACTGTTACTGTTAAACATGGCAAAGTTAACCATGTCTAGGGCTACACTCTCACAGTTGATTTTCTTGAAGTCACAATGACCAAATTTTCACCATATCCTCATAAGGTGCTCTCCGTAACCTAAATCTTCTTTTACAACCCCAAGTGCTTTAAAGTACGACCGCTTGTTCATATCAATGTTTTTTACAGAAACTGCCTCTTTGCTCCAACGTAGTGCATCACGGGGTTCAACTCAAAATGATCCCCGTGATGAATAATAGCATTGAAAGTCATCTATATACAAAAAGAACAAATATTCGTGTAAGATAAAGCAAAATTAACGAAAATAAATCCTAACCCTTAATAATCAAATCCAATAGTACTTACCTTTAACAATGTTTAGAACGGTATTTCGTATTAGTCTTCGCTCAACACTAGGTGCTTTCCAGAACAATAAAGAAGAGTCTATTTATGGCAACAAAATGTCACCTCTAATAACACTTCTCCTCCATGAACAATCAATCATCAACAATGGTGCTTGAAAAACAAGGAACAAACAACAATGCGAATGTTTGTTTCCAAAATAAAAAAAACAATGAAAAATTAAGACGAAGATGAGAAACAAAGTTGAATTTCAAATAAGTGGTTCAATGATTTTTGTTTTATATTTTGAAAATTTTCACTTAAAAATGAAGATTGAGAAACTGCCCATTTACGACTTCAACGTTTCTTCTTTCAACATTTCCAAAATTGAAATATTGTGCGCTTGAATCTTAATTTATTTATTTTTAAATTTTTTAAAAAAATAAAATGTTGATGAAGATTTTTGTAACGTGTAAATTTAAAGGTGAAACAGAAGAGAAAGATTGGGGGTGACGTAGCAAACTGTGAGTCACATCACTATTTAATTGACACAGATTAACGTCAGGTATAAAATTGAAAAAAAATTAGTTAAACATTAAAATGAAAATAAAAATTAATAGATATTAATTTAAAATAAGCTCTATTTAGAAGTCATTAAAACATATTTAAGCCAAAAAAATTTTCTCTCCAAAATATTCCTTCCTAAACAACCTCTGATTAAGTAGAAATTTTTCCCGAACTTCTCTAGACGATGGATTGCTTTTCAAGAAGCGTGTGATTATAGTCTGTCTCTCGGGCAGTCCTCGCTAATTCATCTGGTTTGATAGACTGTGTTGACCATGCTTTGAAAGAGTTTAGTATAAGTTTAATATTTTTGCAGTTTCTTCAAATAATAAAAATTAAAAGAAAATATTCTATTTAAAAAAAAAACCTATATTCCCTCGGTCTAATTTTTGTTTAAAAAATCTATAACAATATTTTTGAGAATTGGAGGAGCGGTGGTATATATGTAGAACTGAATTACTCGTCCCTCTATTTTTATTTTTATTTTCTGTTCTTTCAATAAAAAATAATATTTTGATATAAAAAGACAATGCTTAGAAGAAAATATTGTTATTTAAATCACGTATATGTATCATTTATTAACTGAAGGATAGGAAAAAGAGACAGATAATTTCGATTCCATTGCCCTCATTAGACCTAATTAATTAAAGAGGCCACTTCACAAAAGTATTCCTCAAAAGAAATTAAAAAGACAATCAAATTACTGTGATTGTCCATCGAACAAAATTTAGTTGCACTTTGTCAAATAATATGCAGACCAATTATTTAAATAAAATTTTTAAAACAACAAAAAAAAACTCAAAAAATTATACCTAAAATATATCTTTGTACATTCATCCCATTGCCACCTACTCCTTCCCTGCAACCAATTTAGCCATAATGTTTATGCATAAACCTCATCACGACTGCTTATGAAAAGTATATATATTGCGCGGAAATTAATTATATATTTTCTTGTCAACTTTTTTATTTGTATCAAATATATTGTTTAATTAATAGTAAAACTGATTATTTTGAAGGGGAGCAAAAAAGTTTTGGAGAGGAGGACAAAATTTATATTTTAAATAAATATATTTAAAATTAATATTTTTTGAAATAAAAAATATAAATTAATATATTAACAAAAATTTAATATATTAATAATATATTTATTATCATAAATAATATATAATTTTTTAATTTAAAATTAAAAAATATGACCCTTCCTCCTATCCTTTCTAAAAAAATATACTCTTAAAAGATGATAATGCATTTAATACAATTTAATATATGAAAAGATGATAATATATTTAATACAATTTAATATCTGAAAAATAAACTTTGTTTAACTCATTTTTCTATTTACTAAATGAGTCATTATCTTCTCACGTATTAGTGTAAATTTAAAACTTTTATATTTAATCTAATTCTTTCATTTAACTTATATTTAACGATTAGTTAAATAATAAATTAATTTATTACTTAACTAATCGTTAAATGTAAATTAAATAAGATCGAGTGTAAGAATAATAATATTTCTTAAATATATATATAAATAAAAAAAATCTTTTTATACTAGTATAAATCTAAAAATTCTTACATTTAATTTGAGTTTTTAATTTAATTTAAATTTAATTAATTATTATTAAGTTTAAATTAAATAAAATATTTAAATTAAGTGTAAAATTTTTAGACTTACGTCAATAAAAAAAATTAGTTCTCGTATATAAAATAACATTTGGTGTTGGTACATGTACCATTAGACGTCATCTTGTAAATTTTCGCACATAATCCCGCCCCCATATTTCTATCAGCTAGAATTAAATCACCCCATAATCCCGGTTCCTGCAGGAGGAGACTATTATAAGCAACTCGAGAAGTATCCCCTAAAGTCCATTCTTCCCAAGGAAAGATAAACAAGCAATTACTCCTCGCAAAGCACGTGCTTAAACTCAACAGTGAGTAACATTGCCATGCAACTGAGAGCAATGTCTGGTATCTGATATACATAAGTATAAGAGCACCATAATAATGAAACGAAATGTCCCCGTGTAGAATAAGGTTTAAAGGCTTAAAGCTTCCAAAAGGTCATACTCACACTCAATACACCTGTATATACCAACGCAACCATGCCAACTGTAAATCTGCGTGAGCATTGGTGGTAATTCCCAAGTGGCCAGCAAAACTCCAAGAGCCACCTTCATCATGCATCACACACTAAACTCAGATCTCCCAGGTTTTCTGATTAAGAAAAATAGAAAATAATAAACTCTACAATCTACACATCTGTGTTTGCTACTAAAAGTTTCATTTTGAAAGAATTAAAGTGGTATACGCATAGAGGAGAAGCATATTAAAAGTATAAAATTTTATGATAATAACGTAGAGTGTCATGACGTTAAGTCATTAGTTTTGATCCCTCATTTAAATTGACATTGGGTGTTATTTCAAGTGGTCAGTTGTGAAGCAATCAACCTTAAAACTGGGTGACATCATGATTGAGATGCAATTTGGTTTTCTGGCGTGGTTTTAGTATGTAGTTTATATATGTACTACTAACGCAGGTCTCATATTCCCTTTAAGACTTCTAATTAGTTAATAGTTAATAATAGTATAAAAATAAATATAAGCTATCTCTGACCAAAATTTGAAAGGAAGAAATAAAAAAAAACTTCTAATCTACTCATTTACTCTTAAAGTTACAACGGAGAAAGAAGAATTAGTAACTATCCTAGATGTTAAAAGCCACAGACTACAATAGCAAAATATTTGTTATTCCTCCACGATGAGAAAAATACTCAAGCAGGAAGCCAAGCAGAGGCAAAGATGACATTGTGCCCTTTCCACGTGAGCACCAGATGTTCATCTTCCCTCTTTAATCCCCATCCAGCTGCATGTTCATCGAGCATGCCTTTAACCTCTGAAACAGAATCCTCACTGAAACTGATCCCATGGAAGTTTGCATTTCTCATTCGTTGCTCCCACCTGCTTTTAGGCTCTACTCGCTCAACCCTCTGAAGCCCTTCATGTGCTATCACATTCTCAATCTTCCAGCATATATCCGCTTCATACCACTGCCTTTGCTTACTCCCTCGTGGAAGAAACGTGTCCACCGTATCATAGGGTATCCATAGATAATTAAACGCAGACCTAAGTCTGGACACCAAATTATTAGATGTTAAATCCGCATCTTCATCCACCAAAACGACAATGGTAGGGTCTAAAGTCCTCAAGGCTTTGAGGAACATTGATCTCAAGGACGAAGCAGAAGAAGAGCTATAAACATAAGAGTTAGAATCTGAAATCGAAGATAAAGCAACGGTTTCATCAGGAATGTAATGAAGCATCATATGACAGTTTATGACCAAAGCTTCTGTTGGATGGTGACCTTCGGCTTCATACACTAAATGTTGTACCCGCAAGTGTTGAATCAAAGCCGCGAATCCGTCTTCATAACTAGAAGAAACCACTCTGAATTCCATAACAACATTCTTTGACCTTGCGAAGTTGACCAACTTGGTACCCAACTCGTCGTAGGAAAGGTCCAACATAGGAGGAACGTCTCTACAAGCGGAACCAGCAACGGTGAGTTTGATTAGAGGAGGAACCTCGTGGCGGTTAGCAATGGCGTCAATGAGCGTGGGAATTTGCATGCAATGCGTTAAGCTTAAGTCAACGATATGGATAACGGAGAATCCTTCAGTAGCTTCTAGAATGGCAGCATTAGCAGCTGTGAAACCGAAGCGATGCCAAGGGGTCAAGTCAACGAAGTTAGCTAACTCAATGATGGAGAATTTGTGGGTGTGAATAGCGAGGTCGTTAATGCTATGAGCGTCTGCAACAGCTTCTAGCATTTTACAGCTTCCCGTTTTGGCCGCACGTGCGGTGAGGGCACGAAGAAAACTACCAGCAAGGCGTTGATTGGAATCACCATCAGGGGGTGTTATGTTGTTGAGGACCCAAAGGATTTGTTGGGCAAGAGTTACGTCGTTGCTTTCGATGGCGTTGGCACAGTGAACGAGTAACTGTTCCATGCAATTGGCGTCGCCGAAGCTGGTACCTAGGGACTTAGAAGTTGGGAATCCAGGCCAGGGCCTAGTCCGAGGAATTTGATTTTTGTTCATTGTAGGGTTTGGAAAGTGTGGGCTTTGGTGCAAAGGTGGTGTGAATTGCGTCATTGACAGAGAGGGGTACAAAATATGATGAGAAGAGAGAAGTGAAGAGGGGGGAAAACGGGAAATAATCCGAAAAAAAATTAGAGAAAAGAGAAAGGGACCTGACTAGTAGTGGGTTCCTCTTCCATTGGGAAACGATCCAATAAGTGGTGAAATTAGCAGTAGAGTTTGTGAGAATTCTGGAAATGAATCAAAGGAAAATAGACATTTCAGCTTTTTGGTGAGGATATTATCCTTCTTCCGGAAAGGGACCAGTCAATAGGGGAAACTCTGTTCCCCAAAAACAATTCTGAAGTCAAATTCGGATAAAGAGACCCTTCTTGGGAAATTTCAGGCTTTTTCAGTTTGTGTAAAAACAGCCAAATTAAGGCTAAAGGAGCAGTACTGTTGGGAACACCCTTTTCATGGCTACAAAAGAGTCTTATCCCGCTCTTGGGATAATACTTTTCTGATTTTCTTAATTCCCTTCTTGAGGAAAGAGAGAAGGGTCTGATGAAAGCAGATGGAGAGAGAGTGTTGTAGTAGCTGTAGCTGTAAGACCACTGCTTGTGTTGGATTTTGGTGACATGTGAAGCAGCCGGCCAGCACTTTGTTTGTATGTGGGAGTTGTGATTTGTCATGTAATGGTAAACAGTGTGAAGGATTTGAGGCATTTAAGCTTTTGGCTCACTCACTCACGGGCCATCATATCATATAATCAACAAATCATTTTAGGCAGTTTTCATGCTCCTTCTCTGCTTCCTGGATATTCCGTATATCCATCTTTTCTTTACTTTTCTCAATTTGGTAAATCCCTTTGCAGAAGCTACGTAGCTATATGATTTGTGATTGTTAACGTTGGTCCTGTCCACAATTAGCTAGTCATCATTATGGCAGCCAAACCTTTATGGCCTGTCTCGGGGAAGAAAAACGTCAGTTGAAATTGTAAAAATTAGATAAGCTGATAAGATAAAAATTGAAAAGTAATCTAATTGAATTGAAAACGTATAACAAAATTATCTAAATGCTTAGCTGTTAAATGTAAAATTATAATTAAACAAATCAAAATTTTAATTTTATTATGTATTTTTAAGAATATTATAATTTTATATTTTTATTTATTATTTTCAAAATATAATAATAAGTTTTAAATTTTATTCTTATTTATAAATATTTATAATAAAAATAATATTTAACAAATTTGTTAAATTCTTCTCAAAATACTAATAATTTTTGTTCAAATAATAAATATTGTGATATATATTATTTTTTATAATTTCTGACATATTCTTTATTTTTAATATAGATTTTTTAAAAAAATTTGGATTAGTAAAAATAAATCACTTAATTAATAAGAACAAAAATTACAAAATCACTATTCAACTAGTAGCTGAAAATAAAAATGATTAGTACAATTAACTTTTAAAAAAAGTTAGTAACTACTCATTTCATCTACTTTATTAAACAATAATTTTTTATTAAATAAAAATTTCAGCTAAAGAAATAAATATTGAATTAATAAAAATATCATGCTGAACACACTATATGTTATTTTGTAAGTGAACTTAACCCATTGTATGGTTGGCACTTACTTTTTTACAACAATATATTCTCAAATTGAAGTGTGTATTTTTATACTTATATTACGTTGTGTGTTTAATTTTTTATTTAAATATTTTTTACTAATTTAATTAATAAAATCAATGTTTTAATTTTGTTTTTGAATAAGAAGAAAAAAATAAGTTTGGAGTGATAATATATTCGTCTCCTCAAATTACAAAAAATATATATATATAACAAAACAAAACTATGCTTTTCAATACATTCTGGGGTTTAGCTTCTGGTGTATAGAAATGTTAGTTGTACTTCAACTTTGTAACCATTTTAATCGATATATATATTCCTGTTTGTGAAAAGATGTGACATAAACATTATCCACTATAATGACATGCATATCACCGGTCTAAACCAGAACAAAAACGATAAAATGGATTAGGAATATATATTTATAAAATGGTTAAGCTTAGTCATTTATGAGCAATAATGCAATCGATAAATGTTGCGTACAAACAACAAAGGGATTTAACAACCTCATATTACTTAAAATTAATGACGGAATAGACAAAAATGCATATATATGAGAATCCCTGGTCAAGAATTACTGTTTGTCTTTGCTGGACGTCGTTTTCCACATCTCGTTGGTCCCCATTCTATTACGATAAATATGAAAACCCAGATCCGAACATCAAGTCATCATATTTTATCAAGCATATTACTATTCTCTAGGGAATACTATAATTCTTTAAACATTCTCCAATCATTCTCTTTTTCACTTACAAACAGACAGATATATAGAAATACCTAAGAGTATTATTTCACTCACTGTGTGGCTGTGGCCCTGGAGGACCAGCTGAGCAGTAGAGACAAATTTTTTAATGTTACAAGAAAGGCATTGTCAAAACATGAATGCCAAACCCCTTAGAAGTGTCTTGTATCTAAGGATTAGGAGAATTATGAGAATTGGTGCATGTTTGAATGGTTTTATTTTTAGAGAAATGGTTATTCTTTTCCAAGTTCTTTTTTAAAAATTAAAAATAAATAAGCAGTAATTTGTTTAAAACAAAATTAACCAAACACGCAATATTCTCTTCTTTAGGTTCCCGGCAGTTAACATTAAATATTAGGAAAATGCTTGATACATAGTTCATGAAATCATATAATCCTATATTTATGTGGGATGATAGATCAAATAGGCCATATATATATATAAAGTGAAATTAATTGTGATTGAATGGTAGAAATCATATGAATATAAGGTAATAGGTGAATCTTCACTGTTGCAGTTACAAAACTTTGCGGTCCTTTCCATCATTTCCTAGTGTAGTAAATTTTTTCCTCGAAAGTTCTAATCTCATTCAAATTAAGATTCTAAATTTATATCCATGTTGTCATATTCCCTATGCTTCAATTAAAATGAGAGACACAATAAAAAGTAATATTTTCTCTTAGTTATTTATTCTTTGCACTAGTCACTTTTCAATTTTCTCAATATATGTTTTTCCACCCTGGTTCTTAATTCAAGTACAAACTACATTATTTCTCAAGTTATATACTATGGGTTCTATACCTCCTCTCTTTTTTCCCTAGTTCTCTGGGGTCCAAATTTCGGGTATGTCTGTTTATTTATTACCGTACATTGCAGGTATCAAATTTGTATTCTCCTGTAAGGATTATGTTATATTTCAAAGCACGAGTGCTCTTGTGATTTCAAAATTATCAATGGACCCCTCAGAATATCTATACGTGCTGTACAAATCATTATGGTCCACATGGTAAGAAATTATTCAAACTATGTTTTCACAGATCCTTAAATCTTATAAAAGCTCGGGTTTCTTTTACCTTACATGTTTGTTTCTTTTACCATGCGGCACTCGTTTGCTAATTGCTAACTAATTTTCACTGTTTTGTGGCGAAAAATGGAATCTTACAATAAAAAAAAGTGACAAACTTTAGCCCGTGTTAGGTTATATATAATATTATCATTAACAATATAATTAACCTTAATAATTTATGCAATGGCGGTTGAAGAAAGGAATGAGAAGAGAATCTGAAAGAAGCACGCAAGGAGAACCACAAAAGTTAAGGAATCGTAATTATAATAGCTGTGCATGAGAATTTTGAGGGAGTATTCCTAAACTTGAGCTTTGAGGTATGAGAACCACAGGACAATAGGATAAAGCAAACATTTTGAAGCAGTGATTTTGGAATTTGTCTGGTGAGAATTCCCTTTGGCATCCAAAGTAAAAGTTTCTTCTTTGATTAAAAACAAACGCCAAAAACAAAAAATGCAAGCACGAAACTGATGAAAGTAGGGTTTGTTTGTAATAATGTGATTTTATACTTTGTTTATATAAATTCTTTATATTTTAAATTAACAATAATTAATGTGCACATTGCGTCAGAATTATGTTTCTTTCTACTTTTTAAGGAAGGGAGCTTTCCTAAAATATAAGCAAACCAAAAGTGCAAAGATAGAAATCAGCTTCGAAACGATAAATTCTTTCCTCCTCCTGGGAGCAGAATTTTCTTCATCTATCTTATAAAATTCGATCGAAACCATTCATTTTAATGGTCTAACTCTTACACAAGTACAAACATTGTTTTTAATGGTATAAAATCCCAAAGGAAGAAAAAGAACGCAAGAATTTTCAATTTTTTTTATTTGGACGAAGAATTGTCCACTTTCAAAGTTGAGCTAATTCACGGGACATGTGATGGATTTTAAAAAGTTGTAATCCAAAAATGTCATTATTGATAATTGTTAAGATATTTCAAATAAACTAAAAATATTGTCAAAAGATTTTTTGTTAGTCTTGACCAGTTTTGCAAATCAACTAATATTTTGGAGCGAGTTTGCCTAAAATTTTTAGTATGGTATCATAGTCAATCAAATCTTCATTTTGGATCATCCATAAATGTCCGGTACTAAGTAGGAAGAAATGTGTTAAAATATACTACATTAACTAAAAATATGGTTAGAATGCTTCTTGATAGACTTGAAATTTCTCATCTTACAAGTTAATTTTTAAAAATGTGTTAAAGTTCAATTTTCTAACATTAATAGAGAGTTTTATTCTGTAGCTACTACGTTATTTTCCTAATACTTAAATGGGTGTAATATTTTAAGTATTTATAGCATTATTTTTATATTGAGATTAGATTTTATTTTATTTTTCCTTCGTAATATATACAGGGGGGAAAATACAAACACTAGTTATATCTCGTTTAACAAAAGCCCGGTTTCGAAGAAACTTGACTTCAAAACGTTTTGAATCTTTTCGAGTTTTGGAAGTCTTTTGCTTTTCGTTCAAGGGTCTTGGATCCTCTTTTAACAATCTTAGATCCTTAATTAGCACACTTTAATATTATTTAGCAGAGGTTGCCATTGCTATGGGCTTATAAGCCCAGCAACGTAAACGTTCACTACATCTGTTGAATGCTTCACCGATGAAGCCCGAAAGAGA